ATATATATATATATATATATATATATATATATATATATACACACACACACACATTTTAGACAAAGTTTAGATTCCTTCATACGAATGTAAAAAAGAATTTGCGCTATTAGAAGACTAATTGTTATTTCATTTTGTAGTGAGATTATCTCACTACATAAACTGAAGCTTTTCTATATCTTAGTCTTCTCTATAAGTCTGTTAATGCTGAGATTATCTCCAACTTATTAAGACTACAATAAGAGCAAACATGGCAGGAATGGAAGACTAAACTGGGAGAGTGCTGCCGTTGCTGCTCGCCTGCACCTGCTCTTCCTCCTCTTCCTTCTCGCCGGACATCTCCTCCAGTGACTTGCCTTTAGACTCCGGCACCAGGAAGGTGAACAAGCAGCCCAAGATGTTGCATCCGGCGAGCATGAACAGCGAGTTCCTCACTCCGATGCCGGTCGAGTAGCCAGCGTCCACCTTTGCCGGGTCCTGGCTTTGCGCCAGGTAGAGGAACCCGAAAGAGCCGACGATCGCCCCCAGTTTGCCTGACGCAGCCGAGATGCCGTGGCAGGTGGACCGCACTCGCGCGGGGAAGATCTCCGCCGGCACAATGAAGGTGGTGCTGTTGGGCCCGAAGTTGGCGAAGAAGAAGGTGAAGCCGTACATGACGATGAAGCCGATCTGGTTGCCGGGGGTGGTCCAGTGGTGGTAGGGGATGGCGAGGCCGAGCATGAAGACGGTCATCATGAAGAAGCCGAGGAGCTGGATAGTGAAGCGGCCGAGGACGTCGATGAAGGCCACCGTGAACCAGTAGCCCGGCACGGTGCCGCAGAGGGCGATCAGCGTCTGCGCCCGGGCGATGCGGTAGAGCTCCTCGAGCGCGTTCATGGTGGTGTTCTTCGGAATCCAGCCGATCGCGCTGAAGATGTCCTTCTGGAACAGGTTCTGGCTGTAGTACGCGATGTCGAGGAGGAGCCAGGTGGTGGTAGTGCCTAGCAGGTGGGCGCCGTGGCGGCGGAGGAAGGCCTTGGAGAAGAGCCCGTAGTTGTTGGATTGGGCGGTGGTGATCTGCTGCACCTTCGCCGCCTCATCCTCCAGCTCTACCTGGAGGACCTTCGACATGTCCGCCGCTGCTTGCTTCGCGTCCCTGGCCACGAGCGCGGTGTAGCGGGCGGTCTCCGGCATCTTCAACCGGGAGTACAAAGTCATCACCGCCGGCACGGCTCCGAACATGAGAATGATGCGCCACACGTAGTCGGCCTGAGGCACCGTGGATCCGATCGGGTCGACGGCGTACGCAGGCGCCGGGAACCGGTTCTTGAAGATGCCGGAGACGACGATGGTGACCATTCCGCCTGCAAGAATGCCGAAGCCCTGCATCGCAAAAACCGCCGCGATGAACGCGCCGCGGGTTCTCTTGTTGGAGTACTCGGACATGATGGTGGCGGAGAGGGGGTAGTCGCCGCCGATGCCGAAGCCGAGCCAGAATCGGAAGAAGCAGAGGGTGGACATGACGCCCTTGGAGGTGTGGCCAAGGGAGAGGCCGGAGGCGACGGAGGAGATGATCATGAGCAGGAGCGTCATGCCGTAGACGCGCTTGCGGCCGAGCTTGTCGCCGAGCCAGCCGAAGAAGAGCTGGCCGGAGAGGGTGCCGACGAAGGCGACGCCGTTGACGGCAGAGGAGACGTTAGGAGGGAGTGTACCCGGGGTGGGGGAGCCATCGACGTGGTAGTAGACGCGGCCTAGCAGCTTGGTAACGAGAGAGATGGAGAAGAGGTCGTAGGCGTCGGTGAAGAAGCCCATGCCGGCGATGATGATGGCCGTGAAATGGTACCATTGCGTCTTGGCGACGTCGAGGGCGTTCAGGACCTGCAATTGCTCCCCGGCCATGACGAAGAGATCAAACACCCACCGAGAAAGAAGAAGATGAATGGGGATCAGGGAGAAGGAGACGGAGGAATGGAACACCCGCCGAGAGAGAAGGAGAGGAATGAGGATTAGGGAGAAGGAGACGGAGGAGTAATTTAACGTGGCAGTAGAACAGAATATTCTGTTCGTATGCATGGGATTCTGCTACTGTGTCACAACTATTGTCAGATTTGTTACCCGAAGATTTGCAGTGAGAGTTGGGATCAGCAGTGGGTTTGTTAACTTCTGGCATGAAAATTATATCAAATATTATGTGACAAATTTATCTTTATAATATTTTTAATATCTATTCAGAGATAAACATATTTTTATTTAAATAAATAAAAGAATGTATATAAGCTTATAAAAAATTTCGGATGCCTCGGATATATAATAAATAAAAATGTAATCATATAATTGAATGCAATGTTGATCGTGTGTGTCATGGCACGTATCTTACATCATTTAGTAGGTCAATACATTCGAAAAGTCAAACCCTATTGGAACCATGGTTGTCACGAGACAGGTGCACATAAGTTAGTATTTATTTATCAGCCAGTTATGCACTCGAGCCACGTAAGTTTTGTGATGGGTGCAAGTATATTGTCTTGATTAGAGTCATACGTCATGTGTCAAACCTATTCTGGATGAGACACCAACAATGGCATCACTAATAAGTTACTAGTTCACATCATGGATAGCGACGCCAAATGCTCCAATGGCATCATTTATTCCATGTATGATTTGCATGTTATTGTGTGACGTCGAATAATGTTACTCATGCATTTAGTCACACGAGACATACTCATGTGCCTTGCCTGAGCCTGCAATCAGGTCTGTGCTTGTGTTGGCTTGTTGTTAGACTCAAAATTATGTGTAATTGTTGGCCCATGAGAGATCATTGATGGGACAAGTTCTATTGTTCTTAGATGTTTCATATGAGATTAATAGATTGGGTCGGTGTTTGCAGGCTCGTTGCTCGGATGAGCCATCAATTCTTAATTTCAACCAGGATTTAATTTGGAAATCCTAAAATAGCCTTAAGTAGAATTTTGATATAAACTGTTATACGAGTTTCGTTACTTCGTTAGTCACATCACTTATTATGTGAAAAGATAAAAAGTTATACTGGCATCTCATGACATGCCATTCTAATATAGGATGGAAATGAGGCAATAAAGGAGGGTATTTTTTTGCATAATAAATAGTGGAAATTCAAAAGAGAGGGTAATATCGTTAATTCAGTCAAGGCTGGTGGCAAAATATCCGGTAAAACTGGCGCAGAACTCGCCATCCATTGCCGAGGGAAACCCGTTGCGGACGTCAATACCCCTGCAAATTCGATCGGTAACGCCCTTCGGATCCGACGGGGTCGGCTTGCTCGTTACGCGTTCCATTTCGCTCCCTTCCGGCTCGGCTCACGAGTCGCTCCGCCTCACTCACCACTCTTCTCTCGATGCCCTCTGCTCGCGAAGTGATCGAACTGACGCGGGCCGAGCATCGTCCTGAGCGGAGGAACGAACAAAAGGGCTAGAATAACAAAACCCTAGCCAGCTGAACACGAGGTCTCGAACTTTTCCTCGTGCCTTCTGTTCTCGCGAATCTTTCTCCATTTCTTGGCTTCGTTCGGGTTTCCAGGGTTTTGTTTCCTGGGGTTTTGATGACCTGAGTCGTTGGAGGGATCGAGGAAGTTTGGATCTGCAGTTCGGAGCAATGACGAGCAAGGAGAAGGAGCTGGAGGATCGGCTCCGGGAAGTCGGGAGCAGGCTTGCGTATCCTCCCTCTGCTGTCGATGAGCTCCTGCCTCTTCTTGATGTAAGCTCTTGCCGTCTTTGTTGTTTTTGTTTCCTCTCGATAGGTTTGCCTGAATGATAACATTTGATGAGTTCGTCAGCGATCTGCTGCCAATTTTTTGTTCCTTTTCTCTTAGTTTGTTGATCCAAAAGGTAGAGTTTGTTAGTTACGTGTGTGAGGGTGTGGTTGTTCTTAAGTACAATAGTTGCATGCGTGCCTTCTCTTGGTAAGGTCTTGTATTGGGTTATAGATGCAGGTGCTCCTTGGTTATACGAGTGCTTTTTCGGTCACAACGTTTAGGCTTTTGCTTCGCAAACTGTTGTTTATGCATTATCATCAGCCATTGATGCGCTATTCAAGTTATTTCATGTAAATGGATTGCAGCTTTTTCTGCTCAAGGTGTTACCAGTATTGCTGGAAGTGGCAAGAGGTTCTTTGAACAGTCACTGAAGTGTAAAAGCTTATGCTCATTCACTATATTGTTGCTTTAGATGCATTATTTATCTCTTCTGTCTTATGTTTCTTCTTCAATTCATGACTTGTTAAATTTACCTGCTAATGACTGATTTGATGTGGCATGTTTTTCATATTAAAAAATGCTTGCCATTTATCAAAGTTTCCCCCCCTCCTTCCCTCTCATGAGCTCCACAGATGATCACATGGAGTTGTTCACCTTGCAATACGATAAATCAGTATTTATTGGTACTTTTTGAAGTTTGAGCATGTTTCCAAAACAACAATGAAGTTGTCCAAATGACATGTTCTTATATAAACTATGTGAAACCATGTTATTTCAGATGCAGTGCATATTAAGAAGTACAGATGAAACAAAATGGTTTTTGTCAATTTATACTCATGTTTGTACATGTTTGTCCTTTCTGATGAGGTTGAATTGGTTAGAATTGTTATGATGCTTTTTCCACATGACAATCATAGAACTAACAATTGTTGGCTTGCGTTTTGTCAAATTATTCATGTCAATTAATTTTGTATTCTATCTTTTGTTCTTTGTCATACGTACGCTAATAAGCCCTATAGGTGCTATAGTTAGTAGAGGTTAGACAATTAGTACTAGTGGTATGAGAGGAGCTAGACGGGGGCTTAAGAAGATTTATTAGAAACTATAAATAAAAATTGAAGGATATTGCTTTTTACATTGCTCAATGACAAGGATCTATATAACCGATCCCACAAAGTTGGGACATTATGGTTTGTTGTTATTGTTATTGTTCTTTGTCATTGAACAGAACTATGCCAAAGAGATGCTCGTCGTCTTATAATTTATTACTGCTTATCTGTTACAATAACATGATTGTAAGAAACTACCTATTGTATTGTCATCAGTAATGTATCTGGTAGAGGATGTTGATATTTGATATGGATCCATTGGAGTTCACTGTCAAATCCATGGAAGAAAGTAAAGCAATAGTTAACCAATTGCTATATGGGTAGGCCCTGTGGAATTGGTTGATGTTAAATGATGTAATAAAGGACATTCAGCAACACTTCCCTTACTTTGCTGCTATGTGGAAGCATCTACTACTTAAACAATTTGTTATTGTTTCATATTGGTGGTTCTAGCTGTGGTCAATAAATAGCTGATGATGTTGTTCATTGTTTGTTGTACTAAGACATGCAGAAGATGGTTTTTTTTAGCCACTCTTTCTGGGTATGTATTTTTTGGTACTGTGATATATTCCTTTTCTATGCTCCTTGATTTGCTGGTTTGCATGGTTGATACCAGTCTATCCTAGCTTTCATCGTTAATGAGTGTCAAGTTTTGGTCAAGAAACTTGTTTGTGTGAATTCTATTTTTTATTTTTTCTGTATTCTATGTCTCACTGCACCATTCTGATCTTTCATTTTGCAGCAAACTGAGAGTTTGCTATCAAGAGTTGATCAGTCACCAACACAATCAATGTCTAATGCGCTTAGGCCCTCAATGAAAGCTCTGGTGGATAAGGGGTTGCTGGGACATTTAGATATGGATGTGAAAGTGGCTGTTGCATCATGTTTTAGTGAAATCACAAGAATAACAGCTCCCGAGGCTCCATATGATGATGATCTAATGAAAGTTAGTTGATCTTTATTTGTGTGTGTTTATAATCGATAGCAGTTTCACAAAATTTCACAAATTTTTGTATTGTTCTAGTAACATTTTCAAACTTGTGTTCATTGTTCAGGAGATATTTCAGAGTATTGTTCAAGCCTTTGAAAATTTGGATGATATGTCAAGCCGTTCATATTCCAAGAGAGTTTCGGTTCTTGAAACTGTTGCAAAAGTTCGTTTGTGTGTTGTGATGTTGGATCTTGAGTGTGACACTTTGATTTTAGAAATGTTCCGTCATTTCCTGAAGGTGATAAGGTGAAGTTAATTGATGATATTATTTTTTTGGTATTAATTCCTGTTCTTTTCTGCAATATTTTTGATATGTTCTTTAGTTCCTTTAATTAATGTTGTCTATGGACTACTAGGGAGGTGCATGGGTTGCCCCACTGTTTAAGTGCCGTTTGCTTTCCAGGACTTTCCGATAAAGTATTTGCTCTGGAAACTAAATGGTAGTTTAAGCTTTTTTCTAGGTGCCTAAAGACAGTTTTTGTAGGTGGGCAGGCACTTGCTGTTAGATTTTATATTGAAGAATCATGGGACAAGAAAAGTTTTAATTATTTCTTATTTGTGTTAAAACTTAAAAGAACTTCATCTTGTTTTTAATTGCCATAATATGTTGCGGACAGATAATTACAAGTCTTTCACAGTCATGTTTTAACATTTTTACAAATGAATTAATCCTATAACGGGCTATGCTATCTGGAGTGTCGTTCATCAAAGCACAATGCATTGTGTATGTAGTACTCAACAACTAAGCTACTTGTCTTATATTTGCATGTATTTAGAGTTCTCTACGTTTTTCATTCTGTCGTTGATATATTGCTGATAAAATTAAGTTAATTTTAGTGTAGTTCATGATCTTTTGCTCAATTTTGTGAATTTGTAAACACACCATTTTGTAGGCTTTTACCTAGGCTTCTTTCCTGTTTTTGACTTCTAAGGGCATCACTGCCTGGTACTGTGTTTATATTTGTTCTTTAAGAGCCATGACTTTATTATTACTAAAACCATATGTTATCATGGTCAAGGATTTCACTTCTGATTGCATACTCATAGGATGTAGTCGTACCTCCGCTTCCCCCCTCCCAAGCCATGGACATCTTAAAAATTCTAACAAAATTGACCTACCAATTAGCTGCCTTCTTCCCTCCTTATATATGTGTGATTCTATAATCCAAGAAACATTCCAGGTTACAAATAACATCTCAAACAAGATTTAACAAAGATCAAGGAGGACATAGCTGCTTGTTCAGCACCTTGACTACAGTATTAGCATCAGTTTCTATTTAAATTTGCTGGGTTTTACCCATTTAACAAGAATATGTGTGATCTATCTCCAGTTCCTTCAGACTCCAAGATGTTCCCACTATCCATCAAGTAGGCAACAATTTTGTAAAAGATAGTAGAAGGACAACAAGTCTCAACCCTTGTACATATGTCCTCGTTTTGGGTAATCAACCAAAAGTTATAGTGATAAGGGTTCTCAGGATCATATTACTATTTTTGGTAAGACAACTCCCTTGAGCCACAGACTAGCATGCCACTCCTTGAAAAAAATGAATTAATTGTCCATCTTTTGCTCATACAGAGCCTAAACGCTCCTTATAGAAGGACTTTGGAAAAAGATTTGGGACTGTACATCCACATTAAAATTACACATATAACAAGCATGCACATTGGCAATACCCAGCTTAGCAAGCCAATCAGACGTAGGAATCTGAAATGAACCAACTTTCAACTTAACAATAGTACATGAGGTGAACAGGAATACTGCATAAAGCCTTCGGTGAGTTGGTTTTATCCAAATTTTGAGGAGTTAGACAATGTAAAAAAAAAAAAAGCAGACTTGTTGATGATGGTTGTCCTTTAAGATCAGATGTCCAAATCCAATGGTCTTTATAAGGAACAAGGGATAAATAAATATTAGATATAGTTTCTTACAAAACTGAGCTAAAAGCAAGATGATTTTATCTTGATCCCATTGTGTATTATGAACCTATAAAGAAACATTAAACTCTCTAAGACCAACTGACATAATATAAGAAGGCTTTAAAGATCCAATTGTCATGCATATCACTTGAGGAACTACCATTCTCAATCACACGAGTGAAAACACTATGCAATTGAACGATGGCTTTGAGGAAAAGTTTCTAACACTAGCTACTTTTTGATTGAACATTAATATTCCAAGGTGAGATGACTTCATATTTTCCGATAACAACATTATACCAGAGGCCAAGGTCAAGATGCATTCTTTTGATCTGCAAAGTAAACCTGGTGCTTCTTAAGTCTTAAATTCCTAGGCTACCCTCACCCTTAGGCCGAACAAACTTCGCCCAAGGAATAACATGCAAACCCTAGGCAATGTTATTAATCCTTTAAATGTTATTAATCTCTACTAATCCTTTAAATGTTATTAATAACCAAAGCACACATGCAAGTAGCATTAGGATAGTGTAAAGCAGCCGTATGTAAAACAGAATTTATAAGAAACACTCCATTGCCAGACTTATGTTGGATTTGTTGAACAAAACCATCATAAGCTACTTTCAACATCCTTTTCAGAGTGGTAATGTGCCGGGGGGCAACTTGCGTTCTTGAAAATTAAAGAAATCACAAGTGGCATGTCTTTTAATTCTGGTATTTTCCTACGATAGAAGATTGCATATTTCACAAATTAATCTTCTGGTTAGCAAGCACCTCATAAAGTCTAGAAACATTCCGGATATTCTCACATGACTTTTTATTAGCTTGCGGAATGTAGAGAAATACATCAAATGGGACATCTTGTTGCTGTGCCGAAACTTAAAGGAGATAATCTTACCTTCTTTACAAGCCTTGGTCAACAAGAAAGCAGGTAATTGAACAACCAGGAAACATTTAACAAGAAAGAAGATCCCTTCTCTGAGTCCACATTTCCCATGGAAATAGTGGAAGGTTTCCCATTAATAAGACAAGCAAATTGGGGGAGGAAATGCAAAGCATAAATCCAGTTGACAAGCATTCTAAGGAAATTAAATGCAAGAGATTTAACCATAACATCCCAAGAAAGCTTGTTGTAGCTTTTCCAAGATTAACTTTAATCATAATGTATGGATTTTTTTATTTGGAATAAAAAAATAGAATGAACTAATATGGGCCACCAAAAAATTATCATGAATACTATGACCTGCAATAAATACCGATTGCTCAGGATATAAGACACAGTGGAAAATGTTTAATATGATTAGCCAACAACAGTGCTAAAATTTTATAATTAGCATTATATAGAGAAATAGGCCCAGAAACAGAAACAACAGTAGGCCTTTTACACACAGGGATCAAAACTCAACATATGCATCCAATCTTTATGAAGGTACCATGTGTGAAATTGATGGAAAGCCAAAAGCAAAGTTTTGAATATAATATCCCTTATAAAATTTAACAGTATAGTATTATCATCAGGCCCAGATCTTTTGCCATTCCCAAGGGAATTGAGTGAGTCCCATATTTCTTTTCTGGCAAAAGGTTTAATAAGAAGGTACCTCTCCTGATCCATAATACCCTCCGAGGCCAATGAATGTCATTGTGGTCGTTACGAGTGCAGTCATTACACTAGTTGTGGTAAGCTTAATAAATTCCTCCATAATATGGTTATGTTGGGAAGTCATAATATTTTCCACCTTTATTTGAACTAAAATGAAATTTTGTCGCCTATGTGTAGTAATAAGACTATGAAAGTATTTTGAATTTCGATCACCCTTGTTAATCCATTTAAATCTTGCCATAGCTCATTTCCTCAAACATGAGAAAATCTTCATAATCTTCATAATCGTCATAATCATTAACACCAACATGAGAATCCTTATTTTCCAAGATGGTAATGGTCTCCTTTACTTTGGACATTCACCTATATGAGTTCCTATGACAAGGTTATTAGAGAAAAATAGATCAGCCCTAATAAGGGTAATAGGAGATTGCTAATAAGATCTGATTATATCCTTAACCTTGTCATAGTCCACCCAAAAGTCTTTTTGTAGGTCTAATAAAACCACCAACACGAAAAGAAGAGGGCAATGGTCAGTGTCAATACGAGGAAGATGATAAATGTTGGAGGTGCCAAGCCATTGAGCCAATTAGAATTAGTAAATGCTCTGTCAAGTCTCATCCATACTCTTGCAAGGCCCTTTCTAATATTACACTGAGTGAATTTAGGACCCAAGTATCCTAAATACAAAAGACCAGAATAAGATATACAAGCCTGAAAATATCTAATAGAATTGGAAATAAATTTTTTTTACCAGCCTCTTATACCCAGAATTTAAAACACAATTAAAGTCACCTACTAAACACCAAGGGATGTCATGCAGATAAATAGCAGCTAAGTTATTTTGGAAAGGATTTCTATCAAAAGCATGAGTACTCGCCTAAACAGCTGAAACAAGCTAGGGATTGCAATATTTAAACTGGACAATTGCATGAATTCATCGACTGTGGGAGGATATTATCACCAGGATCTTGACCATGGTTTGTCTTATTGGTCCATACCGGTGTACCGATTGACCATTTGTGTGGTATATACCGAATTACACCGACATACAAACACATGGTATGGTGGGACATACCGACAAACCAGTTTGTACCATCCATACCAGTCCATATTGAATTTAAGCTTTTAATTTAAATTACATTACAAATGAGATCTTCAACAAAAAAAAAAACACATCTATTGTGAATTGTCTATCGCCAAGTGCCAACCTCTCTTGTTTGGTGCAAGGGTGAATTCAAGGTAAGATAGGGTCATGAATGATTAAAATAAACTATGAAGAGTTGTCATTGATTGAACTCTGTGAATTTTGGTAATGTAATTTGTCATGAATCATGTTGAAACTTCAAATCTTAGCTCTATTTGTTGATACATTGTCTGAGGCAAGGTTGTACGGTCATACTGGTCGATGGTTGGATTGGTTCAGTAACAATATGGATCAATCTATTGATCCTCATTATGGGTTGTATGGCCTGACCAAAGGGATGAGAGGAAGATGTGGAAGGGGAAGAGGTGGTGGAAGATGTGTAGATGGAGGAGGCTTGCCGGTAGAGGTGGTCGTAGCAGGTATGCTTTCGGTTGTTTTTGTGGGTGGAACATGAGAGAAAAAGAGAGAAAGGAAGAAACAGATAAAAAGGGACAGGTGTCATAACTGTTAAAACTAAAATAGATTGAAATATTACTGGTACTGGTCTGCCTATTATCTAGTAAGCACATTATGTTGAGCTTATCTGATGGTACAATTTATATAGGACTAAACCGGATAAAATCACTTAGTTCATTTCCCAGTTGGTTGTCGGCCAGGTAAATATCAACTTGTACAGACTGGTACGAGTGGTATTTTAAATCTGGGTCTGAGGTGTTTTGTAATGCATCACATGTCAAAATAAACTGTGCTTTCCTTGAGAACAAAATTTGGAATCTCACAGTGAGCACTGTAAACTAGAATTTTGAATGGCCTTGCTTTTGTTTATATTTAGTTGTCAAATTCTGTTATTTACATTAAATCTGCTGCGCAGCATTTTCTGATCAAGGTTTCTTGTTTCTGTTGTATTTTCAGTTTTAGTGTAATCTGGCTATTACTCCGAGATAACACTTGAAGCTAATTTGTGTTTTTCGCAGGCCATATCATTCTGAGAAATTTTTTTCTTCAATGGAAACGATTATGACACTTGTGTTAGAGGAGAGTGAAGATATTTCCTCAGAGTTAATTTTATGCCTTCTGGATAGTGTAAAAACTGATAATCAAGTAAATGTCTGTCTCCTAATATTCACTGGTCTCAGGTTTAACTATTTCTCTAATCGGAGCTTACATTTGCCCACAGAATATCTTGCCTGTTGTACGCAGGCTAGGGGAGAAAGTGATCAGTAATTGTTCTGGGAAATTGAAACCTTATCTTCTAGAATTTTCCCAATCTGTTGGCACACCTTTAAACAGATATAGTAAAGCTGTAGCCTCTATATGCCAAGAACATTTGGATGGTGTGGAGCTAAATGATGCAAATGCTTCAGATGAAATTATGGTTTGTCAAAATTTTCCATACCTTATTAATTATAGAATCTTTTGGCATTCTGCAGCGCTGAAAGTTGAACATGGTAAACTTTAAAATAGTTTTTTCTTGGAGCATCCGATTATTGTCCTCCACATGATTCAAGTAGCAGGATAGTAAATTATTTTCTTGCAAAAGAACTATATTCCTTTTGGCACTTACATCTGCTTCTATGCTGCATTGGCATAAAAAATAGCTCGTATAGTGTGTGTGCTCATAAGCTGACTGTATTCTCCTACCGACTAACTTATTGCACAAAGTTAAATAGTTTATTTTGTGAGAATCATTTTTCAAATATTTTTTGGATGTAGTAACATATAATGTGCTTCATCTCTTTTGTTGTTATTGTCCTCTTGCCGTGATCGCTGCATTAATACTTTACATAAGTTTGCTGGGTCCGTGTCTTGAGATTTTATCTATTGATGGCTTTGTTATTTATCTTGGCCAAATCGTTTGGTCTTGATCAATTTCATAGATATTTTTGGTGCTCTTCTTTAAAGATTCAACATGATATTTTACCTAGGAATGTCTTTGTTACTTATGTTGCTCCCTTGATTTTCACATTATTAGTTTTGTGGTTAGCTACTTGGTATTAACCAGTGGGTTCATTATTGTTGCATTGTTGATTCAAGGTTATTGAATCATTGCTATTGAATACTGTTGTCACTCTTCTAGTCTTCAGCTTTTTCATTTCTTCACTTTCTGATTGTTGATTTTTTATTATTACAGGTAGATGACAGCAAACAGTCCGAAAGAACTGTTTCTGATGAGTTGGTTCAGGTGCATTTTTCAATGGATATTAGTGCCTTGTTACAATTAACCATTAATGTAATGTGATGCAAACTTTCCACCTTTTCAAAAAATTATTAATTTATTATTTCAGGGCTCTGAGAAAATGGAACAAGAAGTTGGTTGCCCTGAAGAAGTTACTTCTACTGAAAAATCACCAAAGTCAGTGATGAGCAATGGTACTGCTCAGATGGATAATGGTGAATTAGCAGCAGAACCATCTTCTCCAAAGCAGAAGCCTGAAATTTTTCATCCTGATGACCAATCTGAAAAGGCAGCAACAACCAATAGGGATGTTTCTGTTAACTTGGTGTCTATGGCTGTAAAACCGGATGCTGTTTCATGTCTTAAAGCCAAAGAAATTAGAGTCAAGCAAACTAGTTCTGTGGTTAATTTGAAAGATAGCCTTGATCATTCTTTGAAAGATGACTCTCTTGGAAAAGAATCATCTGGTAAACATGACTTGGTGTCTCCTTGTGGAACAGAGAGTGGAGCAGTTAAAGATTCATTGCCAGCCCAGAGAGATATTCCTGAAGCAACTCGGCGTAAACGAGGCAGACCTCCAAAGCTATCTTCAACAAAGCATGGAAATAGTGCAGTAGCCCAGCAATCTGCTTCTACTTTGCAACAGAAGAGGTCTGAGATGGGAAATAAAGCTTTGCGTAATAAAGATTCTGACTTGCAGAAGGAATCAAATGGTATTAGTAATCAAGACATCTTAGAACCAACAATTGTTGCGAGAGTCCCAGAGGAAAAATCTCAAAGTCCAACAAGTAGAAAAGATTCAACAAGACAGACTGATCATGGTGATTCATCTCTAAAATTGGGAACATCCAAACTTAAACAGCACGAGAATTTCAAAGCCAAAAATGATATAGCTGGAGAACCAATTTTGAAGGTAACTTTATCATAATAAATACTCTGTTATTTGTAACTTGTTGCACTAATAATGTTAACGGGTAACAAGGATTGAAATTTTGTGTCGTACTGGCATACCGAGCTTTGCTTGGTACGGTATGGTATGGGAGTACCGAACGGTATGTCTATATAATATATATAAATATAAAAATATATTTTTATATAAAAATAAAAAATAATATAAAAAATTCTAAAAAGGAGGTTTATGTTGCCTTGGCGACATCACCTCCTTCTCTTCTCCTTGTCGCCTCAAACGAGGAGAAGAACACGGTTTCCTTCATCTCCTCATCTGCGGCGTTCAACGAAGAAGGTGACGATGACGTCGAAGGCCGTAGACATCTGCGGCCTTCAGCGAGGAACGCAGCGAAGAAGAAGCCACAAAATCGCAAACGAGGCGATGGAGTCCTCCTCTTTCGTTGCTCTAGTCGTCACCTGGCCGTTACATCTTGGATCGGGATCGTCAAGGGAGGGCGGCATTGGATCGGGATGCGTCGAGGTTCTCCCGATTCTCCCTCTTTGAATGCTCTCTCTTTCTTCTCCCTCGACGCTTCTTCTTCTCTCGCCACAGTCAGGCTGATACTGCTTGGTACAGGCGGTACCATTCAAAATTTAGAACCTCGACAAGTAATATGTTCTGGTGTAGTTGTTGCCTTCAAGGATTGCAATGCTGCATTGTTTGGTACGTCCAAAGCCTACGTGGACCAGGTACACCAGGTGGTACACCTGGTATGGGGTTTATACTATTCAATACAAGGCCTGTGCCATTTGGTATGATTAGTACAGGGCCTGTACTGCAATGTTTTTTTTTTGTTTTTTCATTTTTTTTAGCCTTTTATGAAACTCGGTACCTGCATACCACAATATAACGGTTTGAGCCATGATCGGTACACTGGTAGTCCGAAGCCTATGTGGACCAGGTAAACCAGGCAGCAGCCCGATGTGGGGTTTGTACTGTCCGATACAAGGGCTATACCTCTTAGTATTCCTAGTGCAGGGCTTGTACCATCATGTAATTTTTTGTTTTTTCAATTTTTTTAATCTTTTTCCAAAACTGTGTGTGTACCAGCATATTGACACTTGGTACGCCAGAATGGACTAGTACGATAATAGTCTGAGCCTTGACCGGTGCAAGTACAAGAAATTGTGAACCTTGGTTGCATTAGCCTTTCTTGTCTTTTCTTGCCTATATTATCTTTTGGAAGAATCTTTTTGTTTATTATTTGCCCTGTATCTGTTTCTCTTATCTTATTTTACCCTATTGTTAGTGGATTTTGTTGCAGAAATATGTGCCCTTTTGTATCTGTCTTTGGCTATATTGGTAACCGTTTGTACCTAATATTCCTTTGATTTTTCTAGGTTGATGCTTCACTTTCATTAGTCTAAATCAGGTCTCTTGCTCTTAAAAGCCTTTTAGTAGCTTATCAACTTGACTGTAGATAAATGATGGTATTTTTGATATCCTAATAAAGTACTTATGGTGACTATGAACTTGTTTATTGGTCAGCTCTCGAAATTATTCCCGAAGGTCCTCCAACCGTAAACATTAGGTAGGTCTGGTGGAAACCATGCAAATTAAATATTAACATTGCACTCAATTGTGATCAAGGCCTTTCTTTTTTGGTTTAATATATGCACAGTGGACCCTCTTTAATGGTGCTACTTTTTCTTTTAGACTTTGCTATCAGCATGACAATGTAACCTCATTGCATATACTTTAGTTAGATATTATACAATTCATTGATGGAGAACAATCTTTACCTTTTATGATTTATTAAACTCCAGTAAGATGGAGAGGTTTAGGGGATGCTTGCTAGTAAAATATAAAATGCGGTTTATGAAGTCTCTCTTTTTTCATATTGGTTATGACCTCAAGATATATTTGCTTTTGTTGATGCTCCCGTGAATCCTATTCCAGACATTCTATTGCTATTGTTTTTATTAATTTACTATTCCATGTAGATTTGTTCAAATTTAGGAAGATCGGCTGTGAAAATGTTATAATTGTTAATGACCATAATGCTTAATGTCATATGATTGCTATTATTCTTGCTTCTTTGATAAAATTTGTTATGCTTACTTGAATTTTCAAGTGTAAGGATAGTACATTTGAGGTTTACTCTTTAAAGTTTTGGCATCTCATTTGTACCATCTGTTTAGATAGTTTTCAACCTTTAATCATGATTAACACAGCTTCTTTAGTAGTTGCTCAATAGTTATGCTGATGGTGTTTCTGTATATGAGGAATTTATTGCTTTTACAGATGTACCAAGAGCAGGATTTAGATTAAGAAGGTTTCATTAATGATTTAACAGAATCTCTGCTACAAATTTGTTATCTAGATTGTGCTCAGATTTAAGGTGATGTCAATTTAGATAGGAAAGAGGTTCTAGTTGACAGAACATTTTGCTTTTTTAGTTGCAGTTTAAGTTTATGCAGTCAACTATGAGGAGACTGACGTAATTTACCTGCTGCTCAGATAGTCTATTACTGTTTGAGCATTTCTTTCTGTTTGGATTTATGTGGTATCAGATTTTCTTTTATCTTTTATCCATTTCTTATTTGCCATACTAGGTCTGTGAGAAATTTTGTTTTTTGTTTTGTGGAAAGTCTATCCCTTGTTGATAGGTGCTCCTTGGCAAGCATAGTCTGTATCGAAGTTGCAGTCATGTTGTCTAATAAGGAATCATCATATTATTATCGTTGTATAAGATAGCTTCTTTTTTTCCCACTAAGTTGGATACCTAGGAGACTACTACTTTCATTGGCATTTTATTCAGGAAACTTCCTTGTTAAAGTCTGCTACAGAAGCACTTAATCAAGGCAACTCGAAGGAGAGTGGTAAAACTAAGTCTGGGAGGAAGGGTGAACATGGTGTCAAAGAGATGCATATGTACAGATATTTTATGGTTTCAGTACAAAATTAAAGATATAGAAGTGTATAAATGAAGCAACATATGCATTTAGGCCCATATTTCTCTAAGACCGCATTTCACTGCTCATCTTCTATGATATTTATGTATGAGGAATCTATAAGTCTGTAAAGGATCATGCAGGGACATGTTGCAGGATACTTGTGTTGCTATTTGCTGCCTTGTTATTTTTGGTTTGATTCTGATATGCCCTCTTTTGAGACAAGGAAGTTTTTGAGTAGAGTATTTTATGGGTATATCCATTGTTTTGTACAATGCAATTATGAATGTACTTGTGTTGCATTTTTTTATGTAGTGATAGCCAAACTTATGATCAACTGCTTTAAGGATTATGATAATAAGTTACCCTATTAAACTTTGGAAAGAGTGATTCAAAATAGAATGAGATGCAGAACATGTTTTTTCAGGAATCTTGTTTTCTTCTGTTCCAAATTTTAATCATAGAAATTATTTATTATTAAGCTAATTAATGAAAAAAATATAGAAAAATTTGCATATGGTTTTTATTAAATTAAAAATTATATGATAGAGCCACTAGAACACTGCCAATGTTGGTCCCAAGCTTGGATGAAAAAAATGGAGGGTTGCATTAGGTCATTGACAATTAGTGTAAGACTATATCAGATCTCATAAACATGGATCTTAATCAATTTCAGTATAGCTAGGTTGTCACCCAGAAGTGATGCGAGACATTTTTAATGACGACAAAAGATCCATGTAGTCGATCCCAAATAGTTAGAACTCATGGCTTTGTTGTTGTTGTTCTTGTATGAAAGAGCCACTAGAAATTGTGTTATGAGTATAAACTCTAAAAACTAAAGGTTTTAGTTTAAGTAGGATTAAACGTATGAAATATTTAGTAAGATTAAGAGAATTGAGAATGTGGTTAGGATGGATGAAAAAGAAGTTTTATAAGAAAAAGGTTATAATAATCTTGAATTTTTATTATTCAACAAGATGGAGAAATTGTTGATATATTATTTTTATAGGAATAGTTGAGTGTTTTAAGTAGAGAGGGGCATGAGGATTTTGCATGATCATTTAGTGCCCTTAAAATAAAAGTTTATGATACACTCTAATCATGCCTTATAGATATGAGTGTTAGGCAGTTAAGAATCATATACAATAAAAATTATGAATGTTAAGTTGGATGCGTGGAATTATTAGGAAAGAAAATGATGCTCTTATTCATGAACAGTTATGTGTAGTCCAGATAGTGGATAAAATGAGAGAATCTGGTACTCACATGTTTAAAGAAATTCCGTAGATGCCTTGATAAAACAAGATGAGTTGACTTATATCAATGATATGGGAAAAGGTAGATGAACATCTACGATAGAGGAAGATCTAAGAAGACTTTACTAGAAATAGTAGAAACATATTTAAATGCTGTTGATTTAACTAGACAAATTACCTTTCAGAAAATGAAATGGCAGTAAAGATTCATAGGGCTGACTCCAAATAGTTGGGACAACATGGCTTCTTTTTGTTATTGTACATATCTTATGAAAGTATACATGATGAATATGGGTTGCAACTGTCAATGTTGAACCTAACTTCGAGATTCTTGGTTGGACTAGTCAGGGTAAATGGTCAGTAGAGATGTTATATTGGTGTTTAAGACTATTTTTTTCTGTCAAATAATGTTGTTGGTGAGCATCATGGAAGAGAATGTTTGACTGCATATTCTTTTGGCATTTTCTGTTTCGACTGTGGCTTCAACTCTTTTCTTCAGTAAAGTTGCAGATATTAAGGGTTCCTTGCCTAGGAGGTGAACATGCTACAACCATCCAGTTTTTACTTGCCTTACATTTTTGTTTTCCGAAAGGTTGAGTTCAATTTGTGGAATGTCATTTAGACTTGTGTCGTAATTATTTCTTTAGCAGTTGTTTGGGGTTTAAGATTTATATGTTGTAATTAATCTCAATGAAGAGATATTTATATGGTGGGGGACTGCAGAAATTTCACCTTTGATTAATTAAGAGGAAAAGAGGAGGGCATTGAATTCAGTTACTTGTCCCTACTTGAATCAGGTATTTGTTATCTGTCGTTAAATTGCAATATAAAGGCAGATAAAAATAATAAAATATCGTTATTAATATATTTAATAATTGTTAATTGCCTAAACAGGTCATAACGAAACTTGACCTGTTTAATTGGGATGGATATCAATTTGAATGCAGATTGAGTTGTTTAGTTTAAGATTTGGGTTACTGGATCATAAACTTGATCCATATCTTGGTTAATGAAACTTGACCTATCAGCTTGGGCTGAGATCTTTTCCATTTATATGTTTAGCTACTAAGCCTGCTTCCCTAGTGTTTCATATACTTCTTTTTGTTTACTATTATATGCCAATTCATTTGTGATTCTGTTAAGTAAAGGTCCAGAAATTGTGCGGTCATTTTATGATTAAATTGATAAACGTTTTACTGTTCATATTCTGTTTGTACCAGTGAATTTGGTTTTCTCACAATTTTTCTTTCACCTTCTCCTATTTGTGTAGGTGTTCTTTTTTGTGGTGGTTACTACCTATATTTTAAGTTTGTTCTGTATCTGTTAGGCAGTGGAACTCTTTGTTCAAGATGCTTTTCCTTCTTGTAATAAAATGTTCTAATACAGGCAATTAGTGATCTTGTTGACTGTTCAGTTTGAAGTCAATCTTACCTGTGATCATGGTTTATAATACATGTAAACTAACATATATCGATATTTTGGAGTGCTTTATCTCTGTAGAAGCAGTTATATTATTCTTCCCTCATGTAAGTGGAAATAGTTAGTCACCTAAGGACAATTTATGTTTACATGGTTGCTGACTATGCATAGATATTTTGTTCTAGTTTTTGTACAGCTGCATTCCAGTTGTTGTTTGTTAACATCACTCTCAGTGAATATTATAACTTCAGATGTATACTTTGCTGTTTTGTGATTTTGATTTTTCTTCTTATCTTTTATTATTTATTGTCCACATTTCTTGTTAACTTTCTAAAACTCAAATTTAATTGTGTTACCTTTTTTTGATGGTAGATTTCTGAAACACCAACTCAAAATAAAGAACTAGATGGTAGCCTCGTTGACTCAAGAATCAGGGTGTGGTGGCCAATAGATAAGAAGTGAGTACAACTTAATGTCTAAACCAAAACTCTTTGTACAATTCATTCTATTAGCTTATAATGGTTATATGGTTAAACAAAATTTGCTATGTACAACGTATTGATTTGTTGTAAATTCTCGACTTTCTACCATGTTGATTATGATTTATGGAAGAAGTTATGTTTTCTGACATTTTATTTTGGATTACAATCTTATTGATATATTGATGCTTGAGGGTGCAATTTATCCATGTTACTAAATGCCATTCTTTTAAGTTGTGCATATTTCTTATAGGTTTATTAACTATCATTGGCTAAACTGTGGTGGTGGTTGGATTTATTATTACCGATAACACATTTTCTTCATTAGACATATTAAATTTACCATTTGTTTCCAGTATCAGGAAATGATCAAGTAATTTATAGGTTTTTTCCGCATGATAGAATACTTTAGATGTGAACTAAGACTAAGAGAGTCATATTTTAATAATTGAAGCTTAATTGACCAAAGTAAGTTGATACTTATGGCAGATTTACTTCTTATATGGCTTATATAGTCTGTGCTTATAAGATAAAACTTAATTAAGCTCCTCGTCTAATGTGATAAGGATAACAACATTAGTTGCTAACTACCATTGTATCTGTTCTTTCGACATGAGTGGCAAACATTTTGAGTAATAGATCAAGTTCATTCCAACATTTTAAAATTTTCCCAGACTGGTATGTTCTGGCACAAGTGTGAACCTACATGCAGGCCAAGGCTTTTCTCGGTCCACCCATGCATTGTGTCACTCATTGCCACCACGTGTTAAGATCCTCACGTCATGCCTTATGTCACTCATCACCACCGCCGTCTAGTCTGCCCAATGCTTCTTTACCTCCTCTTTATCCTTTTCCTCTTCTTCCTCCTACCCCACTCATCTCCTCATCCTCCTCGTATCCCCGTCTTCTCGGTGCTAAACAGTATGTTGCCATACCTTGGCCTCGGCATGATGGTACATATCAGACCCATACCTGGTCCGACCAGCGACTGGTATGAGGTTGGTACTTACATTTTAATCCATGGTTCATTCCATGGTTTGCAATACCATACCATACCGCTCAGTATGAGCGGTATATTGATACACCTTAGTGTACCGTGTGTTAGTATGCTTGGTATGTACCGTGCCAATAGCTTATCGGTATACCGGTACGGTATGGTATTAAGAACCTTGGTTTATTCTATAGATTTATTTGGTCTTTTTACCTGCAAATTTGGCATTATCATGTCAACATCAGTTTATCATTTGGCACCTCTCAAGTATGCTCCTGGTGTCGGTCTTTGATCTTTAAAAGTGCTAGAGTGTTAACTTTATAACAAACTATTTCTCAGTATAGTAGATACAAAATAGATTTGGCTAATGTGGAAGTTTCTCCCCTAGATATTTTCTGAGTCATTTAAACGATTGTGAGAGGTGCAGTGTTATTAGTGAGACTGAATTTGTATTCTTGGATTCTTCAGAAGTTCAATATCATGTCGCTTCTTGGACATTTTTGTCAGTTATTATTTGACAAAGTTGTTCCTTTTATATAATATTGATATATACTTGTGTGCAGGTTTTATGATGGTGTTGTTGATTCGTATGATTTAGCTTCCAAAAAACATAAGGTAGAAAGTGGCCATGATGCTTGATTGTGTTTGTAGTTTCTGTTGGTCCTGCTGTCTGAACATGTGGGTTTAATTCATATCATGCTGTTCAGGTTATCTATAGTGATGGAGATGTAGAGATATTATTGTTGAAGAAAGAACGGTGGGAATTTGTTAAAGATGCAAGCAACATAGATGTGGTCAGTCATGATTTCCATATCTTTTCTTATAGGTTTGTCTTAATGCTAATTTATGCTGATTTGATCTGCAGGATCAAGCCAAAGACTCTACTAATCCTGATGTTTCTTCAGAAGAGTAAGTTTTTTTTTAGTTGAGCATTATATGGATCTAACACCATTCTGCCTTCATGGATCTTATATTTTCATTTTAATCAGTTATAGCCTTGATCCTTCTGAATCTTAGATATAGTTTTATCAGCTTTTTAGCAGTTCCTCTATGATGGCCATGCAAAATCAGTGTTTTCTTGACACCCTTGGCAATTATATTTATAAACCTATTGAGCGCTTGCAAACAAGGGAGTGGTCCTGAGGATTTTGTACTTCATTTCTTTTGTTTTCTTTTGGCTTGTAGTAGCTTTAAGGATTGTCCCTCATCTTATCCAAGGAATTACAGAAGGTAGCATAATTTTCCAGTCTGAGTAGGAGGTGGTACTCAGTTTGCCTCATGCCTTGGAAAATTCCCCTTAGACTTGAGACTAGACTGATTTGGCTATTTCAGCATCAAGCCAGTTCAGCATAGTTCTCTAAGATCCAAATCATGTCATATACTTTTGTGATTTGACACTTTCTAGGTCCTGTTTGCTTAAAGGGCAATTTCCCAAGGTTTCTTTACCATGCATGAATGAGAGTAGAGGCTTTTCCATTGATGAGTTAGAGAATCACCTATCTGAATGCTACAACAGATCCTCACTATTGAACATATTTGCAGATGATGATCCTTTTATATGAGATCTAATCTAATGCTTACCTAAAAGTATTTTGGTAACTTGTGGAGGCTGCATGCTCATCGATTTTACTTTGGTTGATTAACAAGCATTATTTAAACATGATGTTGTGGCTCCCAGCCCATCTAGCTGGTGGTTTATTGAATAGGAGTTGTTTTGGCATTGTTATTTTAGTGCAGTTGCCATTCTATGTATTTCTGAAGACATGATATCCTTGTTCTTTTATAAACTCTAGTTGGCTGAGCATTGCTATGGGCTGTATTTTCATTGTACCTGAATGGTTGGACTTTACAGCCTGTTTATAGCTGGGCTGTTTTGTCATTATACCAGAATAGTTGGACTTTACAGCTTATTTATAGCTACCTTTAGTCAATTTTATTTTGTATTTTAAATGTAAAATTGGTATTTCAACATACCTTTATTGTACATGGCTGTCTGCATAGATTGATATATAGTTTCATATGCAGTATATGATTGTGATAGGTATAATTATTGGATGCCTAGGTTGGAGTGGTTGTGGCTCTCTGATAAGTTTCTACTTAGTAGGCAATATTGTAAACAACTGGTAACCACATGTAACAATTATATCTGTTGGTAGGTTGGTTTAATGACATGTTGCATGAGTGTAAATGCCAACAAAGCTCATTTCAAATTTTTTGGGGGCCCTGTTACAGCTTTATCTGAAGGCCTTCCTATTTTTGGAAAAACAGATCCGAATTTTCCGAACTTGTAATTTTGGAAGAATACATGCCAAATTGATGAAAATCTGATGATGCATGATTGCTGTAAGAGGTAATTGGCAATTCATGATGCTACTGGCCTCTAGGTGGGCTGTAAATGGATTAGATATGGGTTTATCGACCTCAGTTCAATACCAATCTGATTTCAAATCTTAATGGGTTTAGATTAGCTGAATTGAAACTCGATTCATATTTGATCAGTCGGGTGGCATGTGCCAATGACAAAGGAAGATGCAGAAGTGGCCTGCTTATGTGGTTGCTGGCTGTGGCACCTTCATTGAGGCAAAGTTTGAGTGCTGGTGTGGCTGGGATGAGCAATGATGTGGTCCGAATGAGCTCCATTGCGGTCTTCAACAAGTGTGCGGGTGTAGTTAAGTGGGAGGAAAGGGGGGCTGGCTGTATGATTGTCGGTACAGGGTAATATGGGAAGAGGGGAAGGGTGGGTATAGGTTCCTTCTTGCCCCATACAATGTACATATTTGTATGCATCTAATATTTTTAATTATATATGATGTTACAAATACATCATACATAATGTTTATATAAATATGATGTTTTATGATTTAATATTTACATGGGTCGGGTCATTGACTGATCCCAATCTTTATCTGGCTTGACTGTACTGGATCGTAGGTAGTCAGAAAACAAACTAATAAGATTGGAAGTATCTGATCCATGCACCACCTTGTGTCTAGATACTGATTGTGTCGGTAAAAGCAAAATATGTGGAGATATGATTTGAGCTTGATTATCGTGAAGAACGTATTATGAAATCAGAGACAGCTGTCAGATTTACATTACTAGATGAATGGATAAGGAAAAAGATACCGGAGAAGTAAAAATTTGTAGATAAACTTCACACTTTATGCTAGATCAAAAAAATAGTCTTACAGCTATCTGTATGTCACTCCAAAAAACAACTTTTGCTGCTACAGCTTTCTCTAATGGTCTCAATGGGTACTGTCAGGAGTATGTTAACGTTCATATGCCAATTTGAGTACATATCTGAAAAATGTTCAACTTAGCTGAAATATTTAACAATCAAATTAGTTTTTAAATGGACCGTATTGTATCACAAAGGACTAAACATGGTTGCGGTGTGTTGATTTTTGCTTCATGGACTAAACACAGACTCTGTTATGCTTCATGGTTTTACTGTTTACATGAACTTGAGCTTCTCTAAGCTTTGGATCTATTTGTGCTCTTTTTTAGCTAATCATTTCTTTTTCTCAATGTTTTATAAAGGAGTACTTGGACTATCTTTTTGAAACTGTTTATAGTTTATTACATGTAATGTTCCAGTCTTCCAGATATACATGTTCTACTTGTTTTAGAAACCTTGTTCATTATTTTGAAGGTGACCATCTACATAAGTTTAAGATTGTTCCTCTTGAGTCTGTGTTGACAAGGTTGAGCCATCGAAATTACTTGTTATATGGGTTAGGCTGCATGGTTGACCCTTACTATATCCAGTATTGATGGAAGTCTCTTACATTGGGATGGTTTTTTCATTTAAGCTCCATATTTTACTTGTTTCAATAACTTGCATGTGTAAAAGTCCCCTAAAATCTAAGACATTGTTGCCTACTAGTGTTGTCCCCTTCTTTTTCTGGCTAATTTGATTTTTTTGTTTGTATATATTAACCATAGTATGACCCCTTTTATTAGGTAAATTGATTTCCTGATATTATTTTATGTATTTATTTATTTTTTCCAACACTAGTTAGCTGTGATGGCAAGAAGCATAAATCTCAACTTGAATTGCATAAATGTAAAAGAAAAGAAGAATCTGCATGTTCCAAATTTAGTTATCTAATGTGTTGGTTAACATTGCTACCTATGAGTCAAAGTTTCTTTGAACAAAAGATTGATTATTTTACAAAGTCTTAAATAATTTAACACTTCAAATGATGAAATAAAATGTATTTTCATGAATATTGACATATTGCTCTATGTTAAATCTTTTGGTGTTTGATGTTCAATATTGCCTTGTGAACCAGGCCAAAGATTAAAAGAGCAAAATCGAGTTCTAGTTCTATCACAAAGGAAATAAATACAGAGACATCTACAAAAAGGTAAATTATAGTAATTGTACTTTTCTAATATTTGTTCGGTTTCTTTCACATAGCATTTATGTCATTTGTTGCTCAGTGGCACAGCATCTGGCAGTCATCGTAAAGGTAGACCACGGAAAGCTGGCATTTCAAATCTTGATGATGGCCCCAGATCTTCAAGTAAATCAAACGAGAAGCCAACAAGTATATCCAAAATTTATAGTTTTAAATCTAGCAATAAACTTAGGGGTGATGTCAAATCTGATGGTGACATCTCTACGGCGGACAAGTCTAGTTCTACAACTGGAAGCGAGACGGAGGATAATTCTCTCAAGTCGAGTAGAAAATCCATGGTTGGCCCTCCTATATCTGCTGTCAGCAAGTCAAAGGATAATGGTGTTGCTGGCAGTAAGGTGAGAAAGGACGCTTCAAAAAGTAAGTTGAATGAAGACAGTCCATTGACAAGCCAGAAATTGAAGGGCACCATCACTCCGAAAGCTGGCAATGAATCAACGATGAATACTGATTCTGAGCGGCGGAAAATGAAGTTACGAGAATCTGAAACATCAGCAAAGTTGCTTCTAAATGCAACTCCCAAGGCACCAGATGGTGAATCTTTGGCTGGGAAGAGGCGCAAGAGAAAGGGCCAGACCTGAGTCTCCATATAATAGGTTATTCACTTGCTTCTCGGTTAACTACATCCTCTTTCCTTTTGTCGATACTGTCACATTGGTGTATCTTTCCAGGATCATAGTATTTTACCATTTGCCTACCGAAAAGTCATGGGACTGGCAACGAGAAGTCAAAGGTGAGTCTAGGAACTCATAAAAGGGCTTGTACTGTTTGCCCGTACATTAATTACCATAATAGGGAAGGAAATGCAAGCTCTTGGAGGCTGATTTCAGCAGGTTGTAGGATAGATAGGATTTGGTCTATTTAAATAGCTCTTTTGACAACATTAGCTTCTGAAGATTCTAGCCTGACCACTGTAAAACCAGACATGGCATCATACTAGTTCTTGACAACCATTTTGTGGAGTCTCTCTTGTGCTTCAAGTCTTCTCGTCACCATGGTTATCTTAAGTAGATAAGCTTGAGACGGGAATTTACCTGGGGTGATGATGGCTCATGTTGTATCCTATTTATTACATTTTCTAGTTGTGTTGGTGATTAATTGTATTGCAAAAGAAAGGGTAAAGTCTGCTTTTGTAAGCTAGGGACTTGTCCTACCTCTATCCATCAGGTAAAATATATGTAATTTTAGTAATGGTAACAGAATAAGATGGACAAGAAATTTCAGTTATCAAAAGCTTCAAGTATTTTGAATTGATTACTCAACAAGATGAAAAGATAGATAATGATATTTTTTATAAAATAAAAACTGAATGCTTAAAGTGAAAAGAAATGTTGTACTTTATGAATACGAGTGTTAAGAAATAATATATATAAAGTTTGTGTTGTTGAGATAAAGATGTTGAATGTATATGTAAAGTTATTAGGAAAGACCAAAAAAGAACACTTTTGTTTATGAACGAAGATTTAAATATTTTTAATTTAATTAAGTATATTGTTTTATATAGGGGCCAATAGCAGAAAGGGATCCATGTAGTCTAATTGGCATATTACATGCTATTGTTGTCTATATCCATTGGGTGTATTGTTGTTACAGACTTATTTAACTGCATTTTGATCTTCGAAAAGTGTGGTTCTTTTAGTTCTTACTGTGCATGCCAAGATGTTGGTCAAATTCATAGAGGAGTGCAGATATAACTTTATGGTGGCAACCTAAAATCAGAATCCAGCATTAATCGATGGCCGAACCTGATCAGTTGACTTGCATGGGTTTGAGCCTGGTGACTTTGTTTAAGTCAGTGTAACAAAGATGAAAAGACAGCGTTCCTTAATGTTACATTGAGATGTCTTCTTTTTCGAGTTGGGACATGGATCTGATTTATATCAGTTTGTGGAGAGAATGATGGTTGTATGGATGTACTTTTGTTGTTTTTTTTGGTTTACTCTTCGGTTTTGGTCTTATTTCACTATTATTTGTTTTGGCTGAGCTGATGCAATTAACTGTAAATATGTTTCATCGGATCCTTAATTACTCATCTTTCAAGTTAAACAGCTATTATCTCTTGCCAAATGCTTCGAAGTTCGATGTTCTCGCATAGCAATTAATAAATTTCTTTTATTTCCTTGATGTTTTCATACCCTCAATGTTAGTAGTTCAAAAATTCTCTTATTTTTCTTTATTTCTGTCCTTCTGGTGCTTAATGTAATATATTATTCATGTCTCTTAGTGTCATTAAGATTCTAACATGCCTATCTCCACCGACGATCACCTTAAGTAACATTTTTCTTATGAATATATTCTTCAGATCACCTGATAAAGTCACTAATGTGAATATATTGCTGTGTCATTAAATAAAGTATACCAGGTGTAGTAAAAGATGCCCCTTTTTCTTTTTCGTGGAGACTAATACTTTGTTGCTTTGGTTTACATCAAATATTTGATGATGGAAGTTCTTTGATTGTTCCATCTCCCCATTATTTTGGGCACTTGTGTACTGCCCAGTTCGTCCAACATTGGTAATGGATAAAGGATTGTGTTTAGTAGGTTAGACGTGTTTCTTTAACCTATTAGGCCTTTTATGCCATTGCGTTTATGGTGCAAGTTATTGAGCTAACGAGTTCATCAAGTAAAATCACTCTTATTAATATTGGAGCTGTTGTTACTAGTGGTTCTTTTTTGGGCTTTTCCCTTCTCCAATTTTCTGATAAGCACATGAACTAATGGATTTACGACGACTTCATGTTTTAGATTAAAGACGGAAATGCAATTAAACCATGTAGAGTTCATAAATTCAACAATATTTTCGGAATGACCGTCACGTCCTGCTGCACATAAGAAAGGTTGGTGAGAGTTTGATATGGGAACTCGATATCAAGTGATCAAAAGCTAATCAGGTTGGTTTTCCTCCTAAGTGTAATTACTACCTATTGATTAAGTGTATTGGTGGTTAGCATCAAATAGTGTTGGATAAGCTAATGCATATTGCAATGATGAGAAAAGTGTAATTACTACAAATTATAGTGTTTTTTTCTTCCATTTGCATATAAGTTTATTAGCTGAAACACATGTAGGTTTATGATGAGAAAAGCCAATCTAAAAGGCTTAGCATTTAATGGTCATGCACAAGCTGCACCAAAAATGAATGCGATGAGTGGCAGCAGCTTCTACTTGTCAAGTATAAGAACATTAGTCAATATGAAAAACCTGAGGTAATCATGAATATTTTTCAAAACAATCACAAAGCTACATCTGTAAGCACCCAATAAGAAGATATAGAACTAGCAGCAACAATTTGGAGAAGCCAATATGGCAAACTCAAATCACTGCAAACGTTATAATCCACAAGAGCATCTTGGTCCCGAAGAAGAGAGCACTCCACCTCTGCAATGCAAATTACAGATGCAATCGGCACACCGATGAAGAGTAACGAACTCTATGTTCACAACAAAAAGATAATAAAGGGAATTACAATTGTCAAATCATGAGTTCCATTTTTAAATTTGTTAATTACATTCTCAACAAGTAACATGGATTGTGTACCAAAAGAAAAAGTGAAAACCGGTAAGTAGGAGCCTTGTATTTCTCTCATGAGAGAAAAACCAAATAAAACAGCATAAAAGTCGACTTCGCTTCGGTGCGCAAGTATAGAAGCATTATCCCAGTAGCTAAGATCTAAGAAAATTCAGAATACATACAAAAGAAACACAAAGCATATAAAAAGTGAAAACTGGTAAGTAGGAGCCTTATATTTCTCTCATGAGAGAAAAACCAAATAAAACAGATAAAAGTCGACTTCGCTTCGGTGTGCAAGTATAGAAGCATTATCCCAGTAGCTAAGATCTAAGAAAATTCAGAATACATACAAAAGAAACACAAAACATATACCACTATAATTGGCCGATATCTCAAACAAATGTTTCTATAGCCACTGTCCAGCACAAATAACTTCCTTCTTATCAAGCTTAAGTTCAATAACATTTTCTGATATAGCAGAATATCGAATATAATGACCAACCACATAAGAAACTTACTTTTCTCACATACCAAGACATGAATAAATAAGTGACCAAGGAAAATGAGAACAGAATATATAGTGGGCAACTGACAAAACTGCATGAAATACCAAAACAGAGGTAAGACCAAGAATTTCAAGCATTAATCACAAAATACTAAATTCAACAGCGCGAGAACAAGTGGCAAGTTTCACATTACAAAACAGAAGTTCTCTATTAAGCCAAAGATGAAGAGAGCCTAAGGCATTCACTTTGGCACCTTTTCAGGCAAATGTCATTCCAATTGGGCACTTGGTGTTGATTAACACAAACAGTCCTTGCACAAGCATCAGCACACGCATCAAGCTCGGAAACACCACATACTGTAACACATGTATCAAGAATCGGATCCTTCGAAAATGCACCAACCTTCTTCAGCATTCTCTTTGAAGTACAGACTCTCATGCAGACAAAGATCTCGTCTGAGTGCTTTTCACGCCCTCGTGCACTTTTGAGTCTTTGCTCCTCCGCACGTCTTCTTTTAACTCTAATGGTATGAGCTGCTATGATGGCTGGAACTGCAGCCCCTAATAAGGACCACCATATGTCTTCCATTGCAATCACAATTCTTGAGCTGTTAACTTGTGGAACTGCAGCTCCTAATAAGCATCACCATATGTCTGCCATTGCAATCACAATTCTTGAGCTGTTGACTTCTCCCCACTTGAGGAGTACAACAAATATAAAAACAGTAAGTGAAATATTGACCTTCTCATTCTCAGTGCGTCCAAGGCAATAAATTGGAGACAATATCACGGCAGGTCAATATGCATCAACATTATCAGAGAATTTGTGATTAAAAGGCATGAAATCAACCCCTGTTTTGGTGAAACATGAAAAGCTACGACTAATTTCACATTGCTCTATGCCAAAAATTTGAAGCTACATTAGCAGATGCATCCGTAGGAACAGACAGAAACAAGAAAACGAAATAAACTTCTGACAGGAACAACCCAAGAAACTGTGTCGATGTTACAAAAACTCGAATAACTTCTCCGAAATTTAAAGAACGTCTCTTGATCTGAAGGAATAGGAATGTAACCGAATAACTACAAATATCTTGATGAATCGCAGACCGAAACAAACAAAAAGAAGAACGCTTTAAAACTCGTTTACAGAATTAGGAGGCAGTACGTCACGAAATTACGATTCGATCGAAAGATTGAATCGCCAAAATCGCATCTTTAGATGAACACCTAAAGAGGCCTACGAAGAAAACCCCTGAAACGCTAAGAAAAAGAGAAAAACAAACCCAAGAATCTAGAACACCACAGGAAGCATCGAACAGAACAACACAAAGGAAAAAAGGAAAACAAGTTTTGGAGACGACGATATCTCGATAACAAAGCAAAAAAAAAAGAGTTTTTTATTTCTTTTTTTTTACGGAAACTCACGTTAGAATTGGGGATTTCGGGATCCGAAGCCAGCACGTAAGGTTATGTTGACAGCGCAGGGGTTAGGGTTTTAACTTGTTTGTGTACGATAATTAGTTTAACTTATATATATATATATATATATATATATATATATATATATATATATATATATATCCTTGTAAAGTCTACAAATATCATATTTGTCAGAACAGATTTTTTTATGGCACATATAACCTCTGGATATTAAGATTATTCGCGTGTTACTCTTATTACCATATATCTATAAAATTCAGGTTTATTATTTTTAATCAATTCAATATAAGTTTATTTAATTTTAAAAAGTATAATAATATAACCTACTTGTTAAAAATATGTTTTTAAAAGATCTTTAAGAGCGTAAATATTTTCTATTAAAATAATATTGAATTAAAAAATATGCTTATATATATATTATCCTTTGAATTAATTTTCGAAGACCATCATCCTTTAGACAACTTTTGTCTTATTAAATAAACTGTGCATTATTTGAACATACTTATTAGATTGTGGCTCTTTACTAATATTGTCTCTCGTTGCACTCCTCAAGACCTAGCAACATGTTAAATTTATTGTACACTTTAGCCTTTTACGAAAAAAAAGTTTCAATACTTCATGGCGTCGAGTTTTAACTACTTTGAAATGGCCACGAACAGTCTATCATCCGCATACAAGTTCTTACATGAGTATAAAAAATTTCAAGTTAGCAATTCTCCTTATCTCTGTGAGCTTTGCATAATTCTTACAGTCGTTAAACAATCTATCCCACCTTACACGGTCTTATCCTTTGCCAAGCACCTCGCTTGCCTTGAGCACTGTCAAGTTTGATTACCAATGTCGAGTCATAACTTGAACTCAATCATCACAACCTTTATGCACTACGCGTTCTTCCCAACTCGCTTATCATTGTGGTTCCTCTCGCACAAAGAGTTAATTATTCCTTTGAATGTTAATCTCAGATGTGTACTCATCCGAGTGACTTTTTTTCCTACGTCTCTAAACTCATTTTCTCTAAATGATTGGGCATGCTGATTGCCCTTAACGTAGCCCCATTAGGTCCCATACGTTTACATACTAAATGTGTTTTTAAGTATAGATTACTATTTATAATCTTATTTTTAAATTTTTTTAAAAATATTTCTTAATAAATAAACATAAATATTCTCTTTCTTCCTCCTCCTCTTTTTCTTTTCATCTTTTTTTTTCCTCCTCTGCCCTCTTCTTCTTTTTCTTCCTCGTCGAAGGACAATATCAAGTGATGATGAGCAAGATAATGTTAAGCAACGAGCAGCATCAATGGCGATGCTCAACATCGATGGCAATGATGAAATAAGATATTGTGAGAAAGAAAAAAGATAAAGATAAAAATAAATTAGAAATATTAGGGCTATAAATAATAAAATAATATTTTAATTATTTTTTAAAATTTTGTCAATAGCAAAGAGGAGACTACAAATAATAAACTTCAAATTCTGCATATCTAACTTTACAAGAGAAACACGTTCAAATAGATGATTTAAGATTCAATATATAATCTAAAAGGCTTATGTAAAGTTAGATGTGTAATATAATTGCAGCTTACACACTCTAATAGAGGAGGCTTTAAAATTTAGAGGATGATTTTCTAGAAAAAAAAAGAAGTTTTTTGGATTTTGTTTCTCTCATCATTTTCAAATGGACTAAAATGATCTTCTTTCCAGTGACAAAAATTAAGAATATTTTGACACATTTCAAAATACAGGATGGTATATTCTTTTTTCTAAGTAACCTTATATTTAGGCATATAATTTTTGAAAAAAATTATAGTATGTATTTTATTTACTGAAAAATAATAACAAAATAGACATTCTTAGCTTAGAATGTTAATGATGTTTTCTTTACTGAATCAAAACATTATAGCCCTGATAAAAATATTATGACTCTGTTTCGATTAAATGAAGTTTTCACTAACATTAAATATCAATCTTACTATAGATTAGGAGGCATTATAAAATATTAAATATGAGAATTTAAATGATCTTGGATGAAAATTATGAATATATTGGCAGATTTAAAAATAAATCACAATAAAATTTTTACTTTTTTTCATTTTGTCTTAAATTTAGATCTAAATATTTTTTTTAAAAAAATTCTAATATATGTAATCATTTACTATGAAATAATAATAAATAAATAAATAAATAATAAGACATTATCTGCTTACGATATTTTTCAATAGAGTAACAGTATTTTTTATTCACTTATAAAAATTACTATAAATAAAAAATTATTGTAACTCCATTCAAAATACTATAAATCAGAAATATTATAATATTAGACGGATTTAGATCAAATTATATTTTAACTAAAAATTAATTTTGTATTATATTTTGTTCTTTTTACAAAGGAAATGCCCTTTATGGAAAATATAAAAATAAGGAACATGATCTAAAAAAAACCCAAACTCGTGGCTCTTACCAAGAAATTACTGGAGATTACTATTTACAATCTATCTTAATTTTTTTTAATATTTTAAAATTATTTTTTCATCTTTTTTTATAAATAGATATAAATATCATTTCTTCTTTTTCTACCTCATCATCATTTTTTTTTTCTCTTCTTCTTACTTCTCCCCCATCCCTCTTCCTCGGTACAATGTCGAGGAGGCAATGGTCAACGATTGGAGGAGTGGGGGGGGGGGGTGGGGGGTAGGAGAGTAGTCTAGAGAGTGGTAACTGACGACATACGTAGACTAGGAGGTGACAATCGACGAGGAGCATAAGCTAAGGAGTTGTGATCGATAGTAGGTGAAAGCTGGGTGAGTGACAATTGGTGATAGGGATTAGGGAGCATCAGTGATGGTTGTGTAGACGATGATCGTAGGAATATAGGAAGAAAAAATGATAAAATCAAAATAAGAGGGATTTAAAAAATAATTTTTTTATTTTTTAAAAATTATAAATAGTAAATAAATTGTCAATACTAAAAGGAGCTCTATATAGTAGGCTCCTAATATAATTATATACTAATACTAACTAATCACTCCTTACTATGATTATTATCAATCCTAAATATTAAAAATAAAAAAATCTTTCATATTTTTATATTTTTTTAATTAATTAAAAAGAACAATTGCAAGAATCGACTAAAAGGATACATGAGGATGGATTGGAGGTGGATATTTGGCGTTAATTTTATAAAGAATGGTGAAAATATCGAGCTAAACAATCTAAGATGACTGATGAGTTCCCCGAATCTTCTTCGGAAAAATGTCATCTAGACTAATCCATTCTAATCCCATAATTATCAAATTCCTATTCAATTTCCGTTTCTCCAATTCAAATATTCAAACCCCTAATGCTTGTTTAGGAACGACAATAAAGAGTGCCCAAAATGATCTCATATCTAAGTTTAAAACCTACTTCACTACTTCACCCATCACTCACATAATTATCAAGCATCATAATCTTTAAAAAAAATATTTAAAATAGTCATAAATTTGGAGTTACTTATGATAGATATTATATATGCACCGTAGGGTACGAATGGAATTTCAACAAACAAAGCAATGGGTAGACGTTTCCTTGCTCGGTCTCTCTAACACTGGGCAAAGGAGACTGAAGGAAAGGACACGTAGATAAATCCATCAATCGGCTCCGATCTCTCTTCTGCGACCCCAAAGCAGCAAACCGCCGCCCTCCATCTCTTTCTTGCTCGTCGAATCGCATCGGCCGATGGGTTACCTGCCTTCGCTCGGCAGCAAAGCGGCGCACTTCGTGTCCGACATCACCACCGTTCTCCTGAATCCCATCTCTGATGAGCCCTCTAAACCCCATGTAAGTATTAGTAACCCTCCCTCTCCCTCTCCCTCTCCCGTCTCTTTTATTTTCGTTTGCCGTCGTCAGAAATCTGGTTAATTGATCAGGAACGGCGTTCTTGAGGCTAAAGATACGATATTTGGTTTTTCTTGTTGAAATTAGTCCCGGATTTCACTTGTGTTTGACTTTTTTCTATCCGATTTGGGATGCTCGTTCTGGAACTTCTTATCTTAGGGTTAATCTTTTGCTTCTTTTGAGGTTTTTGGTGTTTTTCTTTATCATCTGGCTCTAGTAATGGGCATAGAATCACAAACGCGTTTCTGAACTTAGTTCTTAGTAGTGGATCGTTTCAAATTACTGCGGCTAGTCAATGTTGGTTCGGATGTTTGCTGCTGTGTAAACAGGATGATGTTTCGCGTGAAATTTACTTAGAGGATCTTAAAGAACTGCTGCTTACAATAAATTATATCTTTTTCAAGGACAACTGCTGAAGTCTGGGCTTAGTGGATCTTTTGATTAGTTATGAAATGTAAAAACTCATACTCAGGGTTGTTATTCTTTAACTTTTTCTATTTATAGTTATTCCATTTTTTTTCTTTTCAATTTTCGGCGATTATCATATCCTTCAATTTGTATTATTACCCATTTAGTTGATATCCCCATACCTGACGTTTTTGAGGAGCCAATCCTAGTCCTGATACCAAGTTTTCAGATATTTCTGGTTCTACAAGTTTCTTCTGTATGTAAATAAAATTTAGTGACTTTTGGAATGTATACCTTTTGAATGCTTAAGAACATCTTTCTCTTGGTTAGGAAGAGGATATGGAGACAAAAAGTATAGAGAAGGAAGATTCTCAGGATGATTCTGAAGATCCAGATGGCCCTGATACGTCTTCGTTTACTGCATTTCTCATCTCCCTTTTATCATCTTCAAACCCAAGTAATCATCCTACAGAAGAGCTAAATGAGCATCATGCAGAAGCTGGAGAGTGGACGTCAAACTCTGCACCTAATGAAAATAGTGGGAGGATATCTCTACTTGCAAGAGGCAAGAGAACATTTGGAAAAGCTATTCACAAGGCAGCTAAGATAAGTGGATTTAGACAGAATTCGGAGCCTAAAATTGATCACAACATAATAAATGAACCAGAGTTGACTGGATGTGATTCGAGATC